GTTAGACCGCCAGACACGGACCAGTCACTTACGAAACAGACTCGTTACGGCGACCTTGACGGCGGCTACAGCGTTGGGACATCGCATACGTCAACATACAGCACTGCGTAGACTACGTGCTGGACGAATCGTCTCTTCCGAGGAATGTTCTTGGCCGAACAACGTCGGCTCTTGACACTACGATCGGCGAGGGAAGTTCGTCGCTGGCAAGCGAGAAATTTGCGTCGAGCTCTGTTTTCCATGGACAGACGTTACAGCTGCTTTTGAAATAACGGCGGCAGACGAGTTTTTTTTCACAAAGAGGTTCATCCATTCGGTGAATGATGCGTTATGATTTGGGACGGGATTTTGTGGACATCTGAAGACTGATTTGGTTATTGTGACCGTTGGTTGGTTGGTTTGATGTTTAACGCCGCACTCAGCAATATTCCAGCTATATGACGGCGGTCTGTAAATAATCGAGTCTGGACCAGACAATCCAGTGATTTATATTATGAGCATCGATCCACGCAATTGGGATCGATGACATGTATCAACCAAGTCAGCGAGCCTGACCACCCGATCCCGTTAGTCGCCTCTTACGACAAGCATGGTCGCTATTGTGACGGGGAACCTGAATGTTGTGCATTACAGAGACCAAGTATCGCAGCCAGTTATACTTCCTCACTTACAAAACCAACAACAGGGTACAGTGTTTCAACATGATAATGCCAGGCTCCATATTGCATGACTGACTCAGAATTTCCTCATCCAGCCCAACGTTCGTGTTTTGCCATGGCCTGCCCTTTCATCTGATATGAATCTGATAGAGCATCTATTGAACCACCTTGACGGACAGATAAAGAGTCGCCATCACCACCTGTCAGTAGACAAGAGGTGGCACAGGCCCTGAGAATAGAGCGGCAAAGGATTCAAGTAAACATCACAGCGTGTATCGAGACACGTGGAGATCATACACGTTATTGAGAAGGACAACTGTGTCGTGAAAGAACGTGTAATGCGCCTGACACTTCAGATGTCGTTGAAAACTGGAAATTCCCCCCCCCCCCCCCCCCCCCCCCCCCCACCATTGTTCAAGTTGTGATCATCATTTCATTCAGGATGTGACTGAAGGATCCTCTACAACCACCCTCCAGATTCCATTAGCCTTGAAGGGGCGGTCGGGTAGCCTAGTGGTTAAAGCGTTCGCTCGTCACGCCGAAGACCCGGGTTCGATTCCCGACATGGGTACAATGTGTGAAGCCCATTTGTGGTGTCCCCCGCCGTGATATTGCTGGAATATTGCTAAAAGCGGCGTTAAACCATACTCACTCACTCACTCATTAGCCTTGAAAACAGAATCTTGTGTTTTGAGGAATTTTTTCGATCATCTCTACTCTACATATACTTTCTTTTATCGGGTAGTTTACTTGCATACCGTCTTTATCTTTTTTTCTGGACACCATTTTTAGGTGTCCATAAAAAAAAGTGAAAGACAAATAATGTGGAAAGTAGTATTTTCTTACTCTACCGAATGGGAGCTTATTTGTTCACCGCAAAAACGTTATACAAAAAAGAGGTAAAAACAGCAAGACAGACAAGCTTAATAAGAGCACGTTATAACTTCACATATTACAACTTAATCAAACAACTTTTTAATAAGCAAAAACAATTTATTTTGTTTCTAGAAAAATGTGTTAAGGAGAAAATGCCCTGGTTATTGTAAGTGAAATAGGCTGGCCTAAGTATTGTAAGTAACATAGGCTGGCCTAAGTATTGTAAGTAAAAACGGCTGGCTAAGTATTTATAAGTAAAACAGGCTGGCCTAAGTATTGTAAGTGAAATAGGCTGGCCAACGTATTGTAAGTACAATAGGCTTGACTAATTAATGTTAGTAAAATAAGCTGGCCTAAGTACTGTGAGTAAAATAGACCTACCTAAGTATTGTAAGTAAAACAGGCTGGCCTAAGTATTGTAAGTAAAATACGCCGGCCTAAGTAATGTAAGTAAAATAGGCTTGCCTAATTATAAGTAATGTAAGTAAAATATACCTTCCGAAGTAATGTAAGAAAAATAGGCTGGCCTAAGTAATGTAAGTAAAACAGGCTGGCCTAAGTATTGTAACTAAAATAGGCTGGCCAAAGTATCGTAAGTAAAATGGGCTGGCTAAGTTTTGTAAGTCAAAACGGCTGGCCTTACTATTGTAAGCAAAATAGACCTTCCAAAGTAATGTAAGTAAAATAGACCTTCCAAAGTATTATAAGTAAAATAGGCTGGCCTTGCTATTGTAAGTAAAATAGGCTGGCTAAGTATTGTAAGTAAAATAGGCTGGCCTAAGTACTGTAAGTAACATAGGCTGGCCAAAGTATTGTAAGTAAAATAGGCTGGCTAAGTATTGTAAGTAAAATAGGCTGGCCTAAGTACTGTAAGTAACATAGGCTGGCCAAAGTATTGTAAGTAAAATAGGCTGGCCTAAGTATTGTAAGTAAAAACGTCTGGCCTAAGTACTGTAAGTAACATAGGCTGGCCAAAGTAATGTAAATAAAATAAGCTGGCCTGAGTACTGTAGGTAAAATAGACCTTCCTAAGTATTGTAAGTAAAACAGGCTGGCCTAAATATTGTAAGTAACATAGGCTGGCCTGAGTAGTGTAAGTAAAACAGGCTGGCCTAAGTACTGTAAGCAAAATAAACCTTCCAAAGTATTGTAAGTAAAATAGGCTGGCCTAAGTATTGTAAGTAAAGTTTGCCTGGCCTGAGTATTGTACGAAATCTGATTGGCTGAACACGACACCAGTAGGCCAGGTCGGCTACATGCTCACATTGTTACCTCAGGGTTGAGTGGAGTAAGTGATGTCAGTTCGGATATCGGGAAACAGAGACGGAAGCGTTAAAGAAACACAGGCTCTTGTCAAATCTGGGATACACAAATATTGGTCTTGTTATGAATCGGCTTCACTGCCATTTACCATACGCTGAAATAAATGCATTCAACTGAAATGGCACATAACTGTCATGGAGCCTCCTGTAACGTGGCATGCTGCGGTAGTTCTATGTTTGTGTTAGATGTAGACTTTAACACCACACCAGTACTACGTTATGGGGTACTAAACGTGTCCATTGCCATTAATGGGCTTTGTAATGTACCATTCGGCAAGACTCGCCGCTCCGTAACCTGCAACAAGACTCGTCCCCCTATCAATGAATGTTATGAGCGAAAAAATACGACAAACCAATCAGAATGCGCGTATGACTTCCAGTACTTCGGTCAAAGAATCCCTCAGGAATAAATTTTGATTTTACATATATCTTGCATTTAGAATTATACCCAAGAGACAGTTAAATGTGTTCAATCATACCATATAATACTGGAAGTTCCTGTGTGTTTTCAATAGCATCTGGAATATATACGACATATGGGGGAAATATGCGTGAATCATTACGCAACGAGTTGACAATTCGTTTAGCTATGCCCGTTTGCACTTAGACATAACCCAGTCGCATAAATGACACAAGTCGCGGCTTGTCCCGGAATAACACGAGTTGGTCACGAATGAGTATAGTACCTTTGTAGCTTACAGTTGACTGTAACAGAGGACAGGGTATGTTGTTAAACGTGGTGACATAACCCGTTCTACGTGGTGTTGGATATGCTTGCTTCACTCGATATATAAAAAAGTATATTACATGCGCATCATTTAGAACAATACTATGTATTTATGTCGTATCTGGTGTGTATACCTAACGATATTTTTTATCAATTTTATCCCGATGTGGTATTTTAAGTGATTTTGTGTCTCATAAACCTAACAATGAAGGGTTTTGCATTTACAGCCTTATGTTCAATTCTAAGATGCTTAGCTCCTGCGATAAAGTACACTTTTTGAGTTACGTCATAATCGCCTGACGTCACGACGGTGACAAATTACCTCAACGCACTCGGAAGCAAGCGTGATAATAGTTCATAAATATATGCTATAATATAGTCGGATTCGTACTTTGTTTTTTTACAATGATTTCTTATTGATATGAAAATGGTTTTGTCGCTTTTATTAACTATAATAGTTCAGGGCAAAATTATACTTTTTATCACTACATATGGGTGTAGATCAAACGTTATTTCTTACATAATGTATTATTTTATGTAAATGCAAAATGTGATACATACATAACATACTGTAACTCTCTTTCTTTCTTTCTCTCTCTCACTTTCTCTCTCTTTCTCTCTCTTAAAGGCAAAACTGCTACCATGTTCATGGATCTCATAGTTGGATTGTTCAGATATTCATAAATAAAATATCCTCGCTCTAACTTTGAAGATTTACATTTGTATGAAAATGAACGCTGTCGACGCTCTGAAAGGGAAATAAAATTTCATGTTTCACATACTAAAAAACCCAGAATCAGGCTTACAAAATGTTTTTTTGCTTGCATAGACGATTGTCAGTATGCAAGGTCGTGTAGTACATATCATCATAATTGTTATTAATGTACGGTCGTCAATATTTGTATGTGATCACATGACTTTTTACGTCAGAGTGTATATTGAATTCTGTATAATCATTTCAACGAGTGGAGTACCAGCAGTTTTTGCGTCACTAAATGGATTTGAAATTACAAGCGGCGGTATCATAAGGCGGTTGAACTGTAGTCAAATACTTATTTCAAAAACCATCTGTTTGCAATGCAGTGTCATCGACAAGCTCAAATGAACACCATATAATATAGTCACATTTGATCCTGACTGATCGTTCGCCCGTTCGCTACTGGCGAAGCCATCCAAATTAAATGCATCAGCTAAATTTACACTGTTAGATCAGGCATAGGCTATAAAATAACCTAGTGTGTCATTTTAAAGTATTTATGTTGAAGTCCCTTTCATAAGCCATGTGATACTGCAGAATATCAATAACAATGTGATTGCAACGCACGCTCTAATGATTCCCCGACATCAACAATGAGCTTGAACTCATCCATCGTGAATGGGTACACGGCTCATAACGATCAGAATGACACATAAAATGTGGCAATTATTTCACAGATGAAGTCACGGAAAAAATGTTTCAATTTCGTAAACAGGACAAAACATGAACATACCAACGGAAAGATATCTGGATCTTGGGAGATTGCGTTTCGCATGACATCATAAAGCCCTCAGTGTAGACCATGCAAAGTTGATTGGATCGATCCGCCATAGTCGACGGGGTCCTAGTGGTGATTGGTGTTAAACGGGGATTAGAGAACGTGGAGAGAGAGGAAGAACGTGGTTGCGGGTGAGTGTGAGAGGAAGTGGGGAAGGAGGTACTACATTCTGTGTATGTTTAAAGGAGTGGTATCGATCTTCCCCCTAGTTGTCTAATTCAGTCTCCGTGTGCCACATCAGAGCGTGGTTTGCGTCAATGAAGGGCTGAAGCCGGAAAGACTCCGGTTGTCACAAACCATGTAATTTCAACGTAGCTCCCTAACGGACTATGGTCTTACGAAAATAGTTCTTGTTATTTAAATATAGGCGGTTCAGGTCATGCTTTTTGCATATATTATTTGCATATAAAACGTTAATATATATTTGAAGGTGAGCTTATGAAGGGCGCTCTCGCTTCATGTCAACATATATAGCTGCTCTCTCAGGTCTTGTCATAGAGTCGTATTGGAGTTGATTCGTTATTCTAAACTAGGGTATTTGGGACTCGAAACATGCTCTGGTGTAAACACTGGTTGTTCTTTCAATGTAAATGTTTGCTTCCAAACAAAGGAACTCACTCACTCACTGTAAATCTCTAGAACCAAATCATCCTCTTTTGTTAACAATTATATTGCTCTGTCACAGCGACACCTTAGCTGAATCATGCTCTCTTGTAAACAGGGGGCACGAGTGGCGGAGTCGTCAAATTTGCGATTCGATGTGCAGATTTGCGTGCCTGTGGCACGCCAGAAACCTGATTGTGGGTTCGAATCCCGGTTCGCCCCGATAATGTTACTAGGTTTGTCAGCACCATACCCGTGCTCGTGGGTTTCACCGAAGTGGTAAACGTCTGAGACCTGCATCACTTCGGGCCTTCCTCAAACATTAAGCTGACATGCCGTGTCATACTGGAATACTGTTAAAGGCGGCGTTAAACCCAACTCACTCACTCACTCTTGTAAACAAGCAACTTCACCAACCACTGTGCAACTCAGTGTGGTATAGTTCACGCTAAATTATTCACGAGTAATTGCAAATATGGGTGGTTGGAATTCTTTGCTTGTGTAAATAGATGTTAATGCTTGCAGAACAATATGATATAAGGCAATACATTCATTTTAAAAAAATCATTTCAAATTGGAGTTACCCACCACGAAACGTCTCTATTTTCCACTGAAAATCAAAGCGTAGATTTAATCAAATTCAGATTTTGCCTAGGTCTTTTAGTGTTGTGTACCAAAGTGAAAAGTCTGGTATTTTCTATCCCCATAACAATATAAAACGGAAATGAACAATTTAGATGTGAGTGTAATTTTAATTTTGACCCTCATAATCACTAAAACGACATCCAGCTAACCTGGTATGTCATATTAACACACTGACTGACATTTTTTATTGTGTGGGTGGCGAGTGCTACCGGTAGAGCAGTGAACGCTTACCCTCCTCGCAAACCCCCGGGGTCATTACTGATTGTCTTTGAGCCCTTTATGTTCACTGAAATTTGTGACAGTTATTTCCGATTTTGTTTGTTCAGATACTTTTGTTGTTGTCTGGTCCTGAGATAAATCTGCATCCTTATCACAAGATGTCAGACCCGTGAAGATCTGGGGTAGAATAGGTCTTCAGCAACCCATGCTTACCGTAAAAGGCGACTATGCTTGTCGTAAAAGGCGACTAACGGGATCGGGTGGTCAGGCTCGCTGACTTGGTTGATACATGTCATCAATCCCAATTGCGTGGATCGATGCTCATGATATTCATCACTGGATTGTCTGCTCCAGACTCGATTATTTACAGACCGCCGTCATATAGCTGGAATATTGCTGAGTGCGGCATTAATTAACAAACAAACAAACAAACTTCATATCATGTTTTACCGCTATTTTGCCTGTTGCGCCAACAGGAATTTGTTTCGCCGGATTCGCGCTGATTATGCACCTTGGCTCAACTGCACCAAACCAATGATTCAGGTTTCCATCAGTGAGGTCTACCTGCCACATTTTATACGTTACAGCGGCGATGAGGCCTCGTTTACGGTAGCCCATAAGGGACATGGAGTCTGTTTTTCAATATTTTGATATTTCACTTACTTTTATCGTAACCTTTTGCAAATTAACACAATTTGTCATACAAATATGTGATACATCATGTTTAAAAACAACCGAAAACATGGAAAATGTACTTTCAAGTAGCTACTGAATCGCTGAAATGTGAAGCGAAAATGTCAAAAACTAAAATGAAAATACAGAAAAGTATTTCCACCGCGGTGATAATATTTCCACCGCGTGGAAAAGTATTCGGAAATATTATCACCGCGGTGGAAAAACTTTTATGTATTTTCATTTTAGTTTTTGACATTTTCGCTTTTTTCTTTTGACATTTTCGCTTCACTTTTCAGCAATTCAATATCTACTTTATACATGATTTATCACATATTTGTATGACAAATCGTGTTAATTTGCAAAAGGTTACGATAACAGTAAGTGAAATATCAAAATATGGAAACACAGACTCCATGTCCCTTATGGGCCACCGTACTCGTTAAAGCGGCGATAGGCTATACTCACATGCAGTGATGTCTCCGTTGAGGCTTGTATTATTTGTTGAATGTCAATTGCTATTTTCATGAAGTAGCTTCTCAAATATTGAATATTATTATTGGAAAAGATAAGATGGGGTGTGGGTGGGTGGGTGGGTGTATGTGTGGGTGTTGCTGCTTGTACTAGTCCGGATCAATGCCGATTATGTAGTGCTAGCCCACTTAGATACCATGCCGTAGTTTAACATGAATACCCCACTCAGACACAGTATACTGACTCCGAGCCGACCAGTCCTTGTTTTAGCCCCTTAATGCCGAGCGCCAGCCAGGGTATCAAAACAGTGAGTGAGGCGAGTGAGTGAGTGAGCGGGGCGAGTGAGTGAGTGAGTGGGACGAGTGAGTGAGTGAATGCGGGAGGGAGGGAGGGAGGAAGGGAGGTGCAGACAGACCTAAAAACATATCGGGTGACCCGTGATTCGAACCCACGATCATAGGTTTCCACACGAGATCCACACGAGATCAGTGAGTGAGTGAGTGAGTTTATGTTTTACGTCACATCGGCAATATTTCAGCCATATACGAGATCAGTGATTATTTCACAAGTTATAGTGAAATGCGCATGATTAGGTTTACAAACACAAGAGGCATGCCGAATACATCGAATACATCAACAGCTGCACGCAGTTCTAGTGCCATTAACGATCCCATATACCATAACTTTCTTCACTTAACTCAATTCCCACCCATCGTTGTTGTATCAACAGAATAGACTCTTTAAGGGGAATTTGTCCTGCAGTTTATATCACATCAAAGCTTCATTGTTTACAGTAGACTTAGTCTAATCCTGTCTAGACGGCGGATGATTTGTCGGTCAAACCCGCGAACAACACGTCATGATAGGTTTATCATGGCGGGAAGTACTATACCTTATCTAGTGTTGTACTTGGGAGTTGGGGACATGATGTCATCATGGTTGTGGAGGTAGAGGTTGATATATTTTTCAGAATAAAATAATCCGGACAAAATCCAGACAAAATACCCCCCACAAAGATTGCCATGATTGTTCAAGGGGATATATTAGTGAACAATTAAACCGTATTAATACAGACGCTACTTTACACAGCAGACGTATGTACACACTATGCCATTTAGAAAGTTGTCAAATGTAACAAATGTTAAATTTGGGATAACGCTTTCTGAGTAAAGTACAGATTCTCGTACTTTTTTGGGTTGAGTCCCGTCCGGGATTCGAACCCACACCGCCAGAGTGAGGCACCTAATCGCCAGCACACAAAGTGCCAATTCACACTTGTCAGAGGGGTACACAAAGTACGTGAACTAGACTACCAGTTGTCGGACTTTCATGTTTGTGGAGGTCTCCGTGGCTGAGTGAGTTAGATCGCTGACTTTGTGTGCTGGAGATTAGATGATTCACTCTGGCGGTGTGGGTTCGAATCCCGGACGGGACTCAACCCAAAAAATACGAGAATCTGTATTTTACCAAGAAAGTGTTATCCCATTTGTTGCACAGCTGACGTAGTTCAAAATTACCATATCGTTTCTAGTTTCAACAAAATCAATAAATGCGTTGTGATGTTACTGGGTTTTCTGGTCTATCACCTGATTGTCTGGTTTGTTTACAGTCACATGGTAGGAGTGGTGCTGTGTGGTGGCAGGCCCCAAACATACTTTTAATGCAAATTGTGTGAGTTGCGAGAGCTACCGGTAGGGCAGGACATGCTTATCCTTTTCGCGAACACCAGGAGTCATTGCTGATTTTCAGTTATATAATCATATCATTTTCCACCGCTATTTTGCCTTTTAAGTCACAGGAATCTGTTTCGGCGGATAATCGAGACTGGTTATTGTCTAGCTTTGACGTTATATATTTACATTTATACACATGTGTAGATGCTCATGATGTAGTCAGACTCGTACAATGGAATGTCAGAGAGTGTCAGAGAGTGTCAGAGAGTCTTTATTATTATGGAAAGGGTTTTGTCCTTTTTATTCATCACAGTGACATCTCCTGATAAGCTAATAATTGTTCCCGAGCAACGGCATTTTTGTATGTGTAGCTGTTTATACCAGAACAGCCCGGAATGCGGTTTTCTGGAATAACCAGGTTACGCTGTAAGCAGGAGAAGACTATACGTTTCACAATTTTTTACAGAATAATTTAACTTTTTTAAAAGAACTAACTTATATTGAACCCAACTGACTTCAACTACGAGTTTACTATGTTTTGTGGATTAACGGTAACTCTGTCTTGGAAATAAACAGTTTTATCGGAATCATTAATTTGTCAACAAACCATGATGGTATTTTGCGGATATGTATTTTATGGGTGTAGCAGAACACTACTAAAGATGTTTCCTAATGACATACCATGGTAAATGCAGTTCCTATTAGATTGCACTGTTCTCCGGGTGAAGGTCTCTCACGACAGCTGTAGAATGTTTGCCTGGCTGGTTATGAATGTTTTCGATTTGACACGAATTTCATCGCTATAAATTAGACCTAGGGAGACACAGACCCCAATCTCTATCAAC